ACCAGATGAAAAGTCAAGTGATCATGTTCTATATTGTAGCTGGAATGAAATGGTCACGAATAAAAAACCTTTCGAAGGAGGTATCACACGGATTAGTTTCTCATTTTAGAAAAAACTTTCGTACGATTTAAGATTTTGCTATAAGACTGTAAAAGGAAAGCAACGAGTTATCCAACGATGTACAACACAAGGTAGGTTCGTATTTGAGAAAAAAAATATGTTTGGGTAGCTTCCCTCTAACAGGTGAGGCGGGTTGAATCAAAAAGTGCCTCATTTTGGTTCCCCCTCCAATCCTCCGATACGTATTTGAGATCTTCCTGATAGTATTTTTTGTCTAAGAGATATTCCCGATTGCTACTTTTCAAATTGTCACCCTGTATAACAAGATTGCTACTACCATATGCTGAAACTTGATATTAAGATTCTTTGTACTTTGAACTTTCAGAAGAAGTTCGTGCCAGACTGTTACAAATAATTGAAACTATTCATAAAATCTCACAATTTTTCAATGATATTGTACGTATTTGATTCATTAGTCTTATTTGTATTTTAATCACACAAATAAGTACATATAGTAACAAATTTAAAGGGTGCTACAAATTGTAACGTGCCAAAATTTACCATTGTTTCTTTTAAATTTTATTCTGTAATGGGTACATATTCCTCTATTGAAGATTACTTTTGCCACAACGATTTTTACCATAATAATTAGCAAGCAACACTTATTAATTAAAACGGCAGAGTTATTTATTTTGTAAACCAACATTTTCATACGTAACCTCAAAATTCGGTATTTAATTTGCCCTAATTTGCATTTAGTTACGGAGTGCCGCTCCTTGTGGTTTGGTGCAATGTTTTGGGTACCGTAGCACCGCTCCCTGTGATGTTTGTCCAGTTTTATTAGCAGCCAACTTCAGTCACGGCTATTTCACGCGGTTCGATGACAGTTAACCATAAGGATGTGCTCTGCTTGTCGATTTATTCTTCGTTCGATTTTCTAACTTGTACTCAATCCATAAGGAAATACCTTATTTTCTTATTCATAAAGGTATCTGCCTAGTGTCAAAGTGTTGTTTGTTCGGTTATTGAATTCTAGTTTCCCTCCGAGTGAAGTGTAGTCGGAGTAATTTTCTTCATCGTTGTGGCTAAACCTGCCCATCTCTACTAGTAAATTGTCAACTTGGTAACTGACCTGTTGAATTTTGGGGTCTTTTCTACCTTGCAAGGCGTAGGTGAAAGAGATAAAGGGTTATTTTTGATTTTACCCGTTTATGGGGATTTAAGCCCTTTGGTTCTCTATAAAAATTAAATTGTAGTAATTTATCTTTTGGTTCTACCTTACCTGACTTCTACAATTTAGACCGTTTTACGGATTTGAGCACCGTTCGTCTGGTAAGTCCAATTTGTACCTGTTATATGCACGTGGTTCCTTCTTCAACCCCTTTTTTCTTTCAATAACTTTAGCTTGGTGATTTGATTTGGCCCTTACGACGATCTAAGGACTATTAGGAGACATTCCTGTTCCTGAACGTGTCCCACGTTTTGTTGAATAAGCAAGAAAACCCTGTTGCACAGGTAATTAAGTTTTTCATAGTTTCTTTTAAGGGGGCAATTTAATTCCAGTTCGCTGGAAATCTCTTTATTAATGACTGGAAAATAAAAGTAAATTCAAGAGTTCTCTTATATAACAGTTTTTCTTTCCTAGGGTTTTTTTTTTTATGCTGAGGGTTCTCCTTTACTGGGTTTCTCAGTCAAGATTTCTACCTCCTTCCTACCAGTTCTTCGACTTACCCTTCAAATATCTGCCTTTATTCAGCGGCTCATGGCCTGAGTGTCTCCAATAAACAGTGACCGCAGGATCGAAGAACTTGATCTAGGATTGGTATCGTAGAAACCCTTTTACCGTACAAGTTTTTTTTTGTTATGTAAACTCACATTCTTTAAATTTTCTTTATAAAATCATAATATCTAATCATTTTTTTTATATTTACCAAAACTCTTTTCTGGGTAATCCCGTTGTAAATTTTCAAGTAAAATTGTATGGTCAATTTTATCAATTGAGTTTTATGCTCAATTTTATTAAATATCCGTTTAATAACCGATTGTGTAGCTCAAGTTAGCGACTTACAAACATTCCAATTATTGATTAATCAGATCCCTACTTTGATTACCTTGAGTATAATTACTGTTTATAAATTTATAGCCTGGTATGTAAACCAAAGTGATCACCGAGGTATTAGAGTTACGAAGTTAGGTACTTTTGGTAATCAAGAAGACAAGGTAATTGATTGGTTTTTTGTGATTAACAACTTTGATTTATATTTTGATAATCGTGGTACTATTTGAGGTTAAACAATTGAGCAACATTGAGTTGGTTGGTTTAATGATTTACTATTGATTATTGATTATTTTGCTGATTATTAATTACTTCATTATTAATTACTGATTATCAATTACTACATTTAGGTAGATCGATTAATTATTGACTGAATTGATAATAATATTTTTTTTTTTTAGGATTCATTTTGTCCTTCTGTTTTTTTTTTAAAGATTAAAAACAAGCTCTTGAATTTAATTAGTGTTTCATTTGGCTTCGCAAGCTTATACAATACTGGACAACGTTTTTTTTTTTTTATTAACTGCTTTCTCTTATAGTGTAATTGGGTTGGTGCGTTTCAGAAAACATCCTGAGGGATTCTGGCTATCCTGTCTGTCAGCCAGTGGCGCCCATAAATAAACCCACCCTACTCTCCAATAAATTTTCTGAGCTGGGGTTAATTTGCCGTGCTCTCAAGACACGCGTTGATCCAAAAGCACTTTTGTTCTTTATCAATTTAGGTATCTTTTCTTTACAATTTTTTTTTTTTTTTAATTTTTAAATTCATTTTAAACCAAGAGCGTGGCAAAATTGTTTAGCATTATTAAAGAAATCTACGTCTTCGTGGCGGAATGGCGGCTACTTCGAACCATTGGAACTATGACACGGTGATTTTCGTGAATGACTCCTCAAAGATGATCGGTTAAAAAAAATAGCTTGTTACTTACAAATATTCTAAGAAAATAATAAAAACTAACGCGCGGCGATTGGTATCGCGGGCTTTAAGCCCCATAAGTATGGCATTTCGCTTTCGACTAGTTCCTTTTTCATAAACTATCGAAAAATAGAAGAATTTTTGTGTTACAAAGCGTTTGAAAAATTGAAACCCGCAATTTATATGACAAACGCCATACGGTTATGCCCCAACGGCCAAGGGCGGTTTAAAGGGGGGTAGAGGGGGTAATTACCTCCCCTCCCCCCCAGACAAAGATTTTTTTTAATACATTTATCAATTACAACAAAATTTCAACAAGACAAGTTCTACAAAGTGAAGCATTAAAGGCATCGAATATATATGATAGGCTCACCAGTACCGACGTACCTACTACTTTACAGTGAGACAAAGGGTATTCCATTTTTAAAAAAAATGCGCCATGGTTGTTTGAAATGTCTGGTTTTGTGTACAGTATTTTATGATTATTATATTGAGCCCTTATAGACCCTGAGAGGGCCTGTTTAGTGGAGTCATTTTTTTTTGTCTGGCATTTTGAGGGATGAATGTGGCTAGTTAGCTAATGAGAATATAGGTGGTTTTAATGCCTGCCTCCTGTTCGAAATGTCCACAGAATGTTTCGCCGGAAAACTCGACTCCGAACTGTGATTACCGTCTGACGATTTTTCAGCGTTATTTTCACAACAAAACCTTCCATTCTCTCGATTACCAGACAAAAAGTAAACGCGGAAGGTTCTTTTCTTTTCTCTTGGAAGTTGACACTTATCTCCACTTTTTCACCTATTGAAAAGCATCTGGTATTTTTTATGGGTGAATTATTTATCAATGTCAATCTTTTATTTAGAAGCCAAAAAATTGAGATCATTGAAAAAAAATTCTTCATGCAAATCAATTTTTTTTCTTCTGCAAATTTTCGAACGGGAGGCAGGCATTGAAATCACCCATATTCTCATCAGCTTAGTAGCCACATTCATCCCTCAAAATGCCAGACAAAAGAAAATGACTCCAATAAACAGCCCCTATCTCACAGTCTATTATTACATCTGTGTATTTTTCCGTGTATTTCTTCATGTAGTTTAGGGTGCCAAAATTATTTAATTTTTCATAATGCTGATTTATGTTGCGTTTGAAGTTTTTCGGTTGTCACCCTGAACTACATGAAGAAATTCACGGACAAATACACAGATGTAATACGGGCTTTGGTTATTAGAATCTCCAATGAATGAAATATATTAGTTTTTGTTGACACATACAAACTGCGATTTTTTGAAAAAAATATTAAATATTCCAAAAACGGTTGAGTTTTGGTATAGGTAATTCCTGACAAATAGTATGGAGGATTTTTAGAACGATCCATGTACCTACTAAAATACAGTGTGTTCCATTTAAAATAACAAAGTTCTGTCGCATACCCCATTTAGGGAGCACCCTGTTTATTCAAAAATATTTTCAACTAATGCACCTTAGAGTATCAAACAACTTTGTAATTTTTTTTTCTTGCATCACCCTGTGAGTAGATATCGTCCGATATCGCACTAGGATACCCTGTATAACTATTTTGACGTCATCGGGATATATTTTTGCCCGAGGCGCGTTTTTCAAAGGAATTTCGGGTGCAAATTGGGCGTGGCACCCCAAAAAAATTTCGCCTCCGGCGATATGTTGCGACACTTGATGATAATCCAGTCATCCATTACCCCCCCCCCCCCCCCCCAGAAAATCATGTATGGACCGCCACTGCCAACGGCAAGAAAGTTATCATCTTTTCCGTTTTCCTCATTAGGTAATCCGACCCCTAGAGGGTCGCCATACCTGTTACAAATGATTAACTTTTTTGTGTTATGAGCTCCCAGTCTATTTGATATGATTTATAATTAGTACTATACTTTAAATGTAATTTTTGACTGTAACTGCAAGTTAGCCAGAAAACATAAGGAATTATTTTTTCAGTTCACTTCTATAACTATGCCCTTGACCCGTGGGACTCGAACACCTACCCAATCCCAAGATTTTGTTCAGAATACGGCTACCAATCGCTACCATCCGAAGATACTTGGTTTACTGCAACCAACGACAAAGCTGACCTAGTGATTACTAGTCACTTTATGGACTGGAGACAACACCATCCCGGAGGCAACGCAGAAATGATTGATTTAATTGCCGAAAACTTGAATATACCTGATAATGAGACTGAAGCTTATACGACTGCTTTTATTTATCTCTCTCAAGTCTACAATTCTCAAGCTATCAAAGTTGAAACGGAACATTATCGTCGCTATAGGAGTTATTTGACGGATGACGGTAGAGGGTATACTATGGGAGCTCTGTATTGGCAACTGAATGACGTTTGGGTAGCACCAACCTGGTCAAGCATTGGTAAGATTTTTTTAATTCCTCAATACAACTAATTATTTTACAACTAAAATATTTTCACAGATTACACATTAAGATGGAAAATGCTTCATTATTTCGCCAAAAACTTTTTCGCAAACGTCATAGTAACTGGTCATATAAATGATGCAAGAGAGCTTCAAGTTTACACTGTTAACGATCAATTGTCACCAGAAAACTTCACCACCGCAATCATTAGAGTTTACAAATATAACAGTCCAGATTTTGTGCCGCTTTTAGAAATGAGTTTTGCCTCTGACTTAAAGGCTGGTGCTTCTCAACTGTTTTACAGCACCCCAATTGATGACTTATTAGAAGATTTGGATTGTGACAAAAACAGTTGCTTCTTCCACTTTGTTGTCCAGAACAATGCCAGCGTTGCTATAAGTCCAGAAAATTACGCATTCCCAGGAAAATTGAAAGATTCCTCGGTGGCCTCTGCTAACGTACAAATTTCGTCAGTAACTCAAAGTGGTGACAATACTTTTGATGTTACAGTTACTAGTGACAATATTGCCCTGTTTGTATGGCTGGATTCTCATGCTATTAGGGGTACATTCTCGGAAAATGGATTTTTGCAAGTTGTAAGCTCTAAGGTTGTATCGTTCACCAGTTCCGTTAATATCACTGTCGGTGAATTGAAAGAAGCTTTGTCAGTGACTCATCTTAAAGATTCAAAATGGAATTAAGTCAAATTGTGTTTAATAAATGATATATTTTACTTAATATAAGTTGTATTTTTTTGTGCAATCTGGAATTGGCCTGAAGATAATTATTTTAGAAATGGACACATGAAGTTACATCTGGGTTCTCGTAATAACTTTATAGGTTTTGAGTTGTGAGTTTTATCAGTAGTTGAGGTGAATGTATGGTAATTGGTAAGAGTATATAAGCACTTACTTTATAGCCAACAGGAAAGAAGAAACACTAAAACTTAACCAAATCTGGAACCCGATTCTCAAAAACGCAAGAAAAATCCCATTGAGAACAGAGAAAGTTGAGATTAGTCACATGCCGCGATGCCCCGCCTCACCCCCACTACAGTCACTCACACATAAATACAGCTTACGGTCGGGAACGCGTCAGTCTGCTACCAGAATCGGACATGGAAGCACCTCTGAAGATGCTAGCCACGCGTGCTAGCGAAACGTCAGGAAGAAATTTCAACTTACGACGGCCATAAAGCCCGAATGAAAACCCCTTATCAATAGCCAATAATCTAATAAAGGAAATACCTAATAATCAAACCGATCCTCTGCGAAATTTTGAAAATATTATTCCACCTGCTGATTACTTTTCTTTCACTGATGTTACCTTTACCTATAATGAATAGGGAACTTGCACATTTTTTTTTAAATTCAAAAATGTGTTCTACTTCACTAAAGACATAGTCATGCCAAATATCATGCACTCAAAATCAGCCGTTAATTTTTTATAAATATTTGAAGTTACGCTCGAAACATCGCCATTTGAAACGACCGATCAGTGTGACGTCACTCGGCAACAAAATTCCGATCACAGTGTCGAGCACTTCGAACTTCAAGCAGGTAGATTAAGATTATGGTTATGTTGTTATGTATGCAGTTTTTGATAGATTTGACATTGGCGATACCAACAGCACATGACGCGACCCGATTATTACTGCCTTGTGACGTCACGACCCATAGAAATACGTTTTTGATCGCGTCATGAATTTCGAATTATTTGGTATTTTCAATTGAAGATTTTGGACACCCAGAGATAAGATATTAAATTTTTTTCCTAATTGCATCATTTATTAGGATGATTGTTATTGTGTTTTGTTATTTATTCCATATTTAATTTGATGTGCAAGTTCCCTATTGAGAGATATTATTTCACATCTCAAGAATAAAACTAGTCGTGACATTTTTGGTCACAGTGTGAATCTTGTAAAGAGTGTAAAGTGTAAAACATCTCATAGTTTTCCCATTAACAAAACTCATCAACTTATGCTTTAGAGAAAATACTTTTCCAGAGATGTCTTAAAGAAAGCCACGATGTATCTAACTGTAACGGAGTTACCAGATTTTTTCCGAAAATGTGTGCGCCTCTTACTTCAATTTAATTAATTAATTGACTTTAATTCAACTATTTGCTCTAGGTAATTTTCGGTCAATCCCGCGGTAATGATTTTACCTGATTATCGTATTTTTAATTATTTGTGTAACTAAAGCCACACAACTTTCCTTTGATTTTAAGAAGAAGCGCGGCTTTCTTGAATATCTCCGAAATATTATTCATTTCTAAATATAGTAATATTTTACGCGTGATCTCGGTGCAAATAGCAGTTTGGCTGGTCGCACGCTCGAGGCTGCATCGCTGGCTTTGGACCTATGGTAGCCGAAGCGCGCACCATGGTATTTTCTCCCACGAAGCTTGTCCTTCCATCGTCGAGCGTTTCCTTACAAACGAACGGCGTTGGGTTAAGTCAGTCTGGCCCGAGTCCACCAACTAAGTAGACGCTTCCGACTGGTATTTGTTTCACCGCTACGCGAGTAAGTTATTTTTCATTAATACTTGGTTGGTAAATTATATTTTTGCTTTTACTGTCACGGTTCACTTGGACGGACAGAGTTTAAGATTCTATAGACTATCACGGTTTATGTGTACGGATAGTTTTCTCTAAGATATTTATTTTACAAAGTAAAGTTCTATAAACTATCACGGTTTATGTGTACGGATAGTTTTCGCTAAGATATTTATTTTTACAAAGTAAAGTTCTATAAATTGTCACGGTTTATGTGTACGGACAGTTTTCTCTAAGACATTTATTTTCACAAAGTTTAAAGTTCTATAGCTGTCCCGGTTTACGCGTACGGACAGTTTCTCTTCATATATTGGTTCATGTTTTAGTGTCACAACATAGTGTAAAGTTCTATAAACTGTCACGGTTCATTGTAAGGACAAGGCTTTATTTCCACCGCCGTTGCGGTTGATTCTAACCGATTTAAGGTTGCCGTATTGACCAACCAAGTAAATTCATGTCTGTATCCGAAATGTCTTACATAAAGTGTGAAACGAGTACATCAGTATTCGAAACAGTTAAAACCGTTAAGATCTAACCGCTATTGTATTGCATGACCGATTCTAATTTTCTGTTGCTTACCGCTTGCTTGACCGCTACTTATTTTCTGTTACTCACCGCTTGCTTATAAACCACCCGTTATCATTAATCTACACGCACGCACACATACACATTTTCACTCTCTCCATTGCACGCTTGCTTCATTCACTCTAATCACTCTGCTTAAGGAATGTTTTATTTTACTATAGGAATTGCCATATTGACATAAATTTATAGCAATAAATACCAGAACTTAATCGTGATTTCATGTCTCTTCTTTTGGAGTTTTCTGGAGGATTTACAGGAGGTATAGAAGGAATAACTTCCAGCATCTGATTCGACCCCTGATCTCCACTGTAACAAGCTACCTGGTGCACGTGGGCCCTCAACCACAATAATCCTGAGGGTGGCGCCCGAGATAACCGTTAAAACAAGAAAAGGAAAAACCGAAAGGGCGCTACACAACTACAGACCGATCAGCCTTTTACCAATAATATCCAAGGTAGTTGAGAAGTGTGTGGCTGTGAGATTAGTGGACCATTTTGAAACTAATGGCTGTTTTTCAGAATGCCAATTTGGCTTTCGCAGAGAAAAAAATACAGTTCAGGGGATACTCAATCTGGTTGACACGGTGCTGGAGTCCTTTGAGTTGTTGAAGTACGATGCGGTGCTCTCCTGTGACTTGAGCAAAGCATTTGACTGTGTGACCCATGACCTCCTTCTCCGGAAACTGGCATTCTACAATACTGACTGCAGACAGTATTTCACTTCTAAAATCTTATTTGGAAAATGGGGTTCAAGTTGTGGCGGCGGGTGGGGCATCATCGGCAGAGAGTGTAATTAATATAGGGGTACGCCAGGGTTCAGTTTTGGGACCTATTCTTTTCTTAATATACATCAATGATTTGCCTTATGATAACACAAATGCACATTATACACTCTTTGCGGATGACACAACACTTTCTGTCTCGGCAGGTTCCCTGGAGGAAGCTGAGAGGAGGCTATGCGGGTTTCACAGTTAAGTACGGCTCTTCTAAATCAGGAAAAAAACTAATAAAGTTGTCTTCTGGCTGCGAAATTTGGATGATGCAACTGAAAGCGAGACACATGTTAAATTCTTGGTTGTTCTTGTAGATCCTACACTAAAATGGGATATCCACGATAGATCACGTAGCGAGAGGGCACCGTAGGAGTTTGTTTGCGCTTCGACGCCTGTCTGAGTGTGTTTCTGTGACAGTTTTGAGGACAGCATATTTTGCTTTGTTTCACTCCAGTCTGTCCTATGCTCTGCTGGTCTGGGGCCAGGCGGCTCAGATAGGTCGTGTTTTTGGAATGCAGCGGAAGGCTTTACGGGTTGTTGCGGGGCTGGGGTTTAGGGATAACTGTAGGCAGACCTTCGTGAGCCTGTTAGTCCTGACTCTTCCGTCCCAATACATCCTGGACAGCCTGCTGCACATTAAAAAGAATTCACGTCGATTTAGTGTCCTGATAATTAATAATGTTTGTAAACAATTGTCTACTCAATACCTTGTGAATGTGGTAAACATTATGTTGGCCAGACCAAACAGACATGTTGGCCAGACCGAACAGACAATAGTGTATGCAACAACATCGAGGATATTGTAGAAATGAAAAGAGATATAAACCAGAACAATCAGCATTAGCCCAACACCATTTTGTCACAGGGCATGGATTCCTGTTTGAGAACGCTCAAATTCTAGACACAGAACCAAATTACACAAAAAGAATAATTAGTGGAATGATACACATAAATCCGAATGATTGTGTGAACCTCAGAGTCCTCAGAACTGACACACAGGGTCTTATAGTGTGGTGTATAGTGTATAGTAATACCTATATTACAACTTTACAAAGACCACCGACTGGTTTAACTATGATGATTGCGCTGCCCAACTGACAAGAAATAAACTATTATTATTTTAATTATTGTCTAATTTATTGCTATATATTTTTGTGTGTTAATCTCAATTATTAAATTTGATTATGTTCTACCAATCCATTTTTAATGAGGTGTGTTCCTGTTGACCTATGGCGTGTAAAGACTATTTTTTTTTACAAGTACCTACCTAAGTTATTATTTTGATTTTGTTATCTTTACCATAAATGTTCTCTATTTGTTAGAAGCTACTTAGTTTATTCGTCAAGTTTTATACACTATTTTGACCTATGAGTATGAGACCCATTCTAATAGTTTGTTTATACGTTTTAGAGTTTGAAAAATTACCAATATATATGCTTTTCACATATTATTGGCGTAGCATTATCCATGGAAATTTGGCAGGTTGACCCTCGTATAATAAGGACAGTATATGTCAAATTCCAGACAGTTTTAAGTGTGGTTTACATAATTTCGTAAGTGCCGCGGTATTAAAATTTTCTGGCCTATCTGGCAAATCAAATTTGACACATTTTTCAATGCATTTTTCAATAATGCTATATTATAAACGGTACCTAACTATTTTGCGTACCTGCAAAATCTAATGACATTTTTTAAAATTCGGCATTGTCAAATTTCTTCCGTATTGAAAATGCCGAAAATAATCTCAAAAGAAAAAAAAAGAGAAATATCAAAATGTCATGGTTATTTAAAAAAAAAATAAACCAGAGGCTCTCCAGGGAACAATTGAAGCCCAACTTGCAGATATATT